TACAATTTAGTTTCACTGAATTTAAAATTCACTGAGACCTGAGTCTATTGCAAAGCAATCTTAGATCAGAATCCTTCTCTCTATTCTTACTACTGACACACACACACATGTAATTGAACAGAGGTGTGTATGTATATTTGTGTTGGTTTTTTTTTTTTTCTTATATTGGGTTTTCTCTAAAGCATTCAACTTAATCTTTATAGAAAAGTTTTTTTTTCCTTTGTGTAAAATTTATCTAAGTTACATAACGCAGTATGGCAGTACAATAGCAAATATAGCTGCCTATGCAGGATTAAGAGTAAATTCAGTAGACTCTGGGTAAACATACAGCTCAGAGGTAAGAGCAGAATTTTCGGGCACTCTGGAGAGTTGACCACCAGCCAATGCATCTTGCTCAGGGCATCAGAGTATTTTACAGAAGGGAAGACAATTGTAGTTAAGTGGATAGACATACCTTGGAGATTCGGTTCCAAATCACCACAATAAAGTGAGCCACATGAATTTTCTGGATTCCCAGTGCATATAAAAGTAAAGTTTACACTATACTGTAGTCTATTAAGTGTGCAATAGCATTATATCTAAAGAATACACCTTAATTAAAAAATACTTTATTGCTAAAAAATGCTAATGATCATCTGATCCTTTAGTGAAAAATGGCACTGATATATGTGCCTGATGCAGGGCTACCACAAATCTTCAATTTGTAAAATACAAACAGGATATCAGGACTTCCAATCGAGATGGCAGAATAGACAGTCCCCAGTGTCACTCTTTCCCACAGTCAACCAATTTACAACTATTAAAAAGCAACAGCTGCCAAGCTGGGGCTGCTAGAGCTCAGAGGATGAGGAGAAGACACCTACGGAGTGCATGAAGGCAGGAGAAGCCATGATGAGAGAAAGAAGGGACCACTTTGAAAGAAGGGACCCCAACCATTTCAAGGCTGGCCCTGGTTAGCACATGGACCAAGAGCTGCTGCCATGTTCTTTGTGTGAAGTTGCTTGGAGACTGCAGGGGAGAAGAGGGCCTGGTGGTCCCCAGCCAGCAAGACCGCTAGCAAGGTTCCCATGGACCAACATAGGAGTGAGGGGCCACAGACAACTGAAAAAAGGAACTACCCAGAGGCCAGTGAGTCATCACAAGGGACCGCCACATGGCCCAACCTGGGAAGTACTTGGAATGTGGGAGGTGACAGAGACTGGCCCACTGACGGATCATTGGGGCACAGCATGGACAGCTGATCTCTCCCTCAGTCAGCACAGGACCACTCAGTGGAGACTGGTCAGGAGTGTAGAAGTGCAAGGGGTGTAGTTTGCAGAAAAGACTCAGGTCCAGACCAGAGTTTCCATACAACTCAGGTGTACTGAACCTCATAAGACCTAGAAGTGCTTACAGTGTCTACAGTTAAAATCTGAGCTGCACAAAAAACCTTCCCCAGGGAATCAGCAGCAAAGCAGCAATTTCACTCAACCACAGGGCTCAAGTGCTGGTCTCCACAGGAAGTTCCCCCATTTTAGAAGTAAGCAA